CATTGCGTCACACGTCGTAGATAGTATAAATAAACAGTAATTAGAGTTTTATTATATTGTTATAATATAATGTTAGTGTATAAGGTATGTATTTATATGAGTCTTTGAGGTTACAAAGACCCATAAAATAAGGAACATCATCATGCAAAATAAATTATTTACATCTTAATCACTATATTCTTTCTTCTTATTATTTAAGAGTCACGAACAATATTCAAGTTTTTTAAATGCGTGTATTTTATTTTTTTAAATATTTCTGAAAAGCATGTAAAGTTTAATGCTGTTTCAAGTACTACTGGAAATTATATTCACGATAAAAGTATGCGAAAGTTAAATAACAAACTGAAATAGGTGACCTGTAAATTGGTTGTGAAATAAAGGCGTGCGCCGTAAATCTGTGTGGTTCATTGTAACGTTGTCACGTCGATAGCAGGACAATGGACCGTAAAATATAACCAGGGTTATGGCACTCTAAACTAGAGAATGCTCTTTATTGAATGCACACGTTCAACTAGTCGGAAATAAATTACAATTTTTAGTGTTTATTTTGTTCAAAATTGAATTTTCCAAGCGCCGTAGTTGAAAAATGTTGATAAATACATTTTAGTAACAGGGAAGTTTGTGCAAGAGTTTGTCTAGCGAAGTACTGTCATAGGCGGTGCTAAGAACGAAGGGGACGGCCAAGTGGATGTTGGAAGACGATGTGTCTTCAGATCCGTCTCAGGAGGATTGGGCGCAGGCACATGCCTCCATAACGAAGGCCTCCGGGCATCGGATGCGGAATCATTCGGCGCTCTAACGAAGACAGGTCTTCGAGTGTCGAGACCCAATGCACGTCATCCAGACACTCTCAGGTTTTAATCCGTACGCGCCTTAATTCTCGTCTCCCCGGGCTTAGGTAGGATCCATGAGGATTTCCTATTCTAATGTAAAAAAAAGGAAAGTACTGTCACGGTATCTATTTCTGCCACCAAGCAGTACAGTAAGCATTGGTCTTGGTGAAACTATAGGCACACGGGACTGGTCAACTTAATACCTCAGGGTGAAGTCTGTAGTGACTGTGCCCCTCAGACAATTGCGATTTAAAGCTCTGAGTGGCATTGCAATTGTTAGAGCGAGCATTTCTATTCTTATTAACCGGTACCATTAACCTTACTATGGTATCGGTACTTGAGATACTACCGGTATAAATTATACCTGTATTTGCAAGAAATGGATTCACTGAGCTTATGGTATCCGTGTCAATTATTATCCTGTATTATATAGGTTTTTGTAACAACTGTATACCGATACATTATTCCGGTATTAATGTATCTAACTTTCTTCTAAGACAAATTCAATTATTTAAATGCAATTAAATTAGTAAACAACGTGATTTACGGCCACAGTTAAACTAATATAATGAAACAATATTTCATCGACATTTCGTGAAAATAACGGAACATCTTTGCTTCTGTAACAACACGCTCGTCTCTTCGCTTAGGTGAAGCCTCATTTCCGAGACTTGAAACTTACAATCATAAATTGCCATCTTCCTTATCTCATAGTCAGTACAAACGACATTTCATTCACAAGTATCTCCAAAACACACAATCCTATTTAAATCAAATTCGTGTAAGTTTAAACTTAACGAACCGCAGTGTAAACAAAGTTAACTGCTTTAAGTAACAGCGAACACAAACAAACCACACACGCTATTATTATCAAATTTGAACATGACAACATGTACGATAACATAGAGTAATTTTTACTTAGATATACAGTTTGTTCTGGATGTGGCATAAACATAAATGTTAGAAAAAATCGTGGCTATAACGGGGCGTACGTGTGTCGGTTTTATATTAAACGATTTCTTTTTAAAGAAATTAAGGTTACGGTTAAATTTTATTCTGATTTTAAGGATTTTCTATGTCTAGACCAACCTTCCATTCTTCAGAAGCAGTCTGTAATGTAGTTTTGCACTTTAAATACAAAAATGTACTCAAATTAAAACTGAGCAGCCAACAGTCACTAGTGGTTTGGTGACTTTCAGGCTAGTTTTCTTTTTCTAATTTCGGTGACAATTTCTATTATTTAAATATTGTCGAATATTATCATGAAATATTATTTACTGTTCGAGTGTAGAAACCTGAAATATTATTTAATATTTTACGATAATTTAATCGAATACTTAAATAATAAAAATTGTCACCGAAATTATATAGAGAAAACGAACCAGAAAATTATCCGGTTGTCACAAAACGTAAAGTTTAATTTTCCTTTGGCTGACTCTGTTTGAAAAGCTTTTTCTAGAAAACACTTAAAAATTTAAACATTTTTTTCTTGGGTTACTTAGGAAAAATTCTCTAGTATCACAGGTAGAGTCGATCTTTCAAATTCCATACGCACATTTATACACACGACTTTTGTACATATAATAATACCTTTCTAAATTATTTGTTAATTACTAAACCTTCTCTACACAACTTGTTCATTAAATAAAAATATATTTATAACAAATATCTTCTCGAATGAACGAATTGAATGTATACTGTCAATCCAGTTCAATTCGTTCATTGTTTATTGCCTTAACCATAATGTTGCATGGAACGGAAAAAGCTTAAAGATAAGTTTATAGGACATTAAGGACCCTGAAGAGCATCGCAAGTTACAATTCGAGAGAAGAGAAGAGGTTTTTCTCGTTACGAAATTTAGAATTTTGAAATGTTACTTTGTCTTATGTTTACATTAGTTCGTATTTGTACAAATGCAAATTAAGGAAAGTACTTACATTCTTTTAGTTATTGATTAAATAAGTCATATTGAGATTGACAAAATATGTTTACGTTCATTCATTCTTATTAGCCGTCATTTCGTGGTCCCTTTCGTTGTTCCACAATGCTATTAAAACCTTCACTTTCAGCATCGTCACATCTAGCTACACCTTATATCAGGTACAAATTATTCCAATATTAATAGTATTTATTTATCTCTAGCGCTATAACTTACACTCACAATGTTGTATTACAGTAACGACAAAATAACAATGAGTCGCATGATTTACGCGTGAACCATTACACGAGCGCGTTTATCGCGATCTTGTGTGGATCATTAGTATTATTACGTTGTAGTAACAACGTAAATTGAGACATAATTTATTTATCTGCTTATCATTTAATATACAAAGAGATGATAATGATAAAATCTTGACTAAATTCACAATGAATTTACAGCCTAACAGCACGTTAAGGGTGAGGCCAGATGAGCGTAATTTTGTGAGTTGTGAGTTGCGTTTTTTGAGTTGCGCAGGTTGCGTTCGACCGACATTCGGTTGGAGCGCCAGACGAACGCATTTCATTCAGTTGCCTTTAAGATCAAAACACAAAACTGCGATGCGACGCCTTAAGCTTTCATACGGAGTGTTTGTGTCGTAATAGTGTAATGGATCCATTAAAAATAGTATGTAATTGAAGCATTAGAAGACGATCTTAGAAAAAGAAAAATGAGCTGGGTATATCCACTCAATATGAAACGACTAAAGTATGGGCAGCTTCATATATTATACACAAGTTTATGTGAACAGATCAATTTATTAAGTACTACCACATGCCAATAAATGTTTTTCAAGAATTATTAAGCCTAGTAAAACCTTTTATTACTATTTAGTCCAGGGGAAAGACTAATAATAACAATCAAGTAAGTTGTTAAATTGTTTATCTTTTAATCTCCGTATCGAAACGTCTATACTCACGCGCTTCCTGTACCAAAGCGACCCGTTCCCTCACCTCTACGTCCACCCGCGCCAGCCCGTCTCACGGTGCGGCCTCAAGTCAGTCATCATTACGCCCGTGAGTCAAAGTAGGCAGATAACTTATTTTGCGTCGTCGTGTGAAATGAACCGTACTTTTATATGAAACCGAATGCAGCGCAAGCTACGCAACTCAACGCGACTCACAACTCACAAAATTACGATCGTCTGGCCTCACCCTAATGTTAAATATATTTTTTGTGTAAGGGACGGCACGTGTAAGGTACGGTGCGTGTAAGGTGTGATACGTGTAAAACAATTATTACACTACCTGATTTCAAGGAACCTTAACTTAGTTGCGAGGTGTAATAATAAAGGTTAGGGAGATAGGGTCTGTCTTCACGTAACGAAACTGTCTGATCTTCATCCTCTTTACAGGTTTACCTTCAAATATTTTTTGGCATTAATATATAAATTTGTAGCCAATTGCTTCAGTTCGTAAAATTCGTGGTACTTATAAATTCTTAGACAAGGTAGTTTTTGGGTGCCGACTTTGATTATAAATTTTTTGCGGGCATTTTAAAAAATTGAAAGAATGTTCGGCATTGAGTAAACAGTGGAGTGATTTTTATAATTTTCAATGGAACTGTGCATAGAGTCTACCTCCATGTAGCTAGCTATGTCCTGACTCTAGGAATTTATGGTCGATGATCTGGATGTGATCAATTATCTGAACAACGTACAGCAAACAAATTAAAAACATACAGTCGAATTGAGAACCTCCTCCTTTTTTTGGAGGTCGGTTAAAAATCACTTTAGGGGTATCATTTACAATACTTTTCAAGCATTATTATCATATTGCTTAACATTAAAAAAAGCACGGTTAACATCAAACTGTGTTATATAAAAAATTACCACAAAGTTATTCACCAGCGTGTTTGTGTTTACTCCTTGATCTAGTGTTCTTTTTCATGTTGATGACACGTATAACAATTACATTTTGCATGGAAACAACACAATAAATTGGATTAAAAACAATGTTGCAAAACACGTCATTGATTTTATTTTGTTGTACCATTTCCGCCTACCAAGTTGTTCGAAAGTTACACGCAGAACCAAATAAATTGTTTTAGTATAGGTATTATTGCTGTAGGTACCTTGTAATATGAAAGACGTAAATTATTTTCATATATTTTACTTGAATACATTTTTAAGATTTATATTGACCTAGGGTCTTAGAAATTAGGTAGTGTTTAGGCACGACACGTGTAAGATGCGGTACGTGCAATGTACGGTAAGTGTAGCACGAGCCCACACATAGAATGAGGCGCCCGAGTTTATCCCTAATGTTTCTATAACAAAAGACAGTGAGCCTCTTTGTGTACCTTGGTTTGACCATGTTAAGCAGGGGTCAAATTGTCAGCGATGTTTTCTTGAGGTATCGTTTTTCTAATGGGGCTGACATGTTCAATAACAATCAAAGCCCCTAAATAAATAAAGAGTTAAAAAAAAAACATAAGACGTGTGAAACTGCATCTAAACGCATTGTGGTCGTCTGGCGGAACTAAACTTTGAAATTTGCGTTGCAGTTGTATTTATTTATTATCATGATATTTTACAACTATGACTTTCATATATGTTTATTGTGTGAAAATAATACATTCCTTCGATCTAACTTGAATCAGTGTTTGCTGCCATACCGGGGTCACCGCTCTTTCCAAATAAGCTACAGTACCCAGTCACATATTAAGAATTTTTCTATGTGCTTGTTAAAGATTTTGTATGTAGTTTAAATGACTTATGAAGTTTTTCATTCAGCCAGGTACTAATGCTAACGAGAGAGAGACTTGACGTCGTGTTAAGATACATGTATGGTACAGTCGGTGTCCTACGATACCTGACCCCCAACTGACCATTTGTGAATCACGTTTTATGAAAATTTGTAAGCTAATTTGACCTTTATCGCATACTTACTCAAATACAGAATACAAATTTCAACTATACAGCTGTGTCTGTAGAATGCGTGAGAAGGTCTTCAGAACCAAACCAACCTAAAATGTCGGCCAAGGGTTCAGGTATCTTACGGCACCGACTATACGTGATGTTTCTTACTGATATATTTTTAAACTAGTCTTATATTGAACTATTGCGGTAAGATACGAACGACACCAGAATCGTGATTCAAGTCAAGAGCATGTCAATGCTCGACATTTAAGACTTAAATCCAACTCTACGCCGCTTACGATAAGAACGGTCCAAAGTACTAAACGTCAAGCTTGACTGTACCAATAGCACATATTTATTATTATCTATAACCAAATAATAGATTAAAAAAGAATATTGCATAACACTACTTATATCTTATAGATCTCCGTCCACTCACACGATGTCACCGTGGATGAAAAAGCTGTTCCTTCAATTTATGCCGAAACTCCTAATGATGAGGAGGACCAAGTACTCCTTGCCGGACTACGATGACACGTTCGTGTCTAATGGTTATACTAATGAATTGGAGATGAGGTGAGTCATTTCATCATGATGATCTAGTCCATCATTTTACGAAATTTTTTATCCTATATATTAGATGGTTCTATTCGAATTATATTCGAGGGTAGAGTGAATATGCATTTATTTGACAAACTCGTACCATTGACGGCCACATCGTCTCTTAACATCAGGTGAGAAAATGTGGTTAAGCATTCGTTTATTCTATACGAAAGTAAAGATTGAGATCTCGGAAAAGATAAAATGGTGCTATGGATGTTTACCGGTCAGCTTTAAATGTTCTCAATTTACATAACGTCACCATAAACAAGTAGTACAACTCCATATAAAAACAGCAGCGCGGTTTGTATGTGTGCACATCCACTGCGCGCTTCGTACGGACGGACGCACACATAAGCAAAATCTCGCAGCGCAATCGAGTTGTATAGCGCGGGTCATAGCGGGCGCTACTTATTTTTTTTATAATATCAAGTGACGGGACGAACAAGCCGTGCGCCTGATGGTAAGCAACACGCCTATCCATAACAGTTGCAGTGTCACTCAGAGCTTTGAATCGCAAAGACATGAGGGGCACTACTACGGCACTTATCACCCTTTTTTTACGGGGGGGAAATCTTTATAGATACCCCGGGTTTACCTCCCGCCGGTTGAGTCGGCGCCGTGGCTGCACCTATCACCCTGACAGATACGTTGACAAGTCCCATGTGCCTGTAATTTCACTAGCACCCCTACCCCGTGGTAGAAGTCGTAAGGTGGCAGTGCTTCCCTGGACGAACCCTTTCATAGAGAGCTCTTCCGCTTCTTATTATATAATTAAACCGATTACTCGATGTTCAAAATATTGAAAAGATTTTCACATTTATAATTTTTGTATTTATAAATGTGTCGTTTTGCATACACAAACTATTATTTCATTTATATTTTATGATCTTACTCGTCACACTATAATCGAGATACTAATATAAAAATATCAATATGTATTGTACGTGTATGTATGCAGTACGCATTTCAAGAAGGTTTGTGGAGGTGCTGCTGGTGCTGGGGGCGTTCTAAATAAGACACACCATTACAATCCACCGATTGTAATGGTGTGTAGCCTGGATAGCAGTAATAGCCTCAGAAGCCTCGCAGCCTCCAACATCTTATTTAGTAAATTTAGCAATTCAAACGTTGAAAGTCCAGTTTATAGATATTTAATCGGTTTTAACAAATATAATCTTTAAAATGTAAACTGTATAAATATAGGTAGTAAACGATTAAAAAAGATAAATAATGGTATGTTCGCTACCGCGGTCACGCAGAGAGTGACGATAGAAAGAAACCAAATCAGAATGCGAGGCAAATGGAATAATTTTAAATTTAAATATGAGTAGAAGAAGAAAAAACGATACGATACGAATGGAGAGAGGCGATACAAAAAGGTGGGATGACGATATAAGGAGGTCACACCGTCACAGGTTAATTCAACATAGCAGGACTATACTGCGATTAATACTTTAATTTTTTTAAATTATGATGTGTAGCGTGTAGGTACAACTAAAATGATAATGTGACAACCATACGTTCCGAGCGATGTGTAGGCAAAGGCATTGGCGCGCTATACACGCGGGTGTTGCTGTACTTTTCATATTATACTATGACGACACGGTGCTGCCATTTAAACCACTATCAACAGTTTGTCAGTCTTGCACTCATACAATAAATAATAAGACTTTTTGCTAGTAGAAAAAGTCGTTTAAAGTTTGACAAATTTTTAAAGCCATATATTTTTCATTTTCGTTGTACTAAGTACAACCTCGACTGTGATATTGGCGGCGATAGTGCCTTACATGATCTGGTTAAAGTCTGTGAAATCCGGTTTAATCCCGATAATACCGGGATGTTCATTAATTTGTCGATGCATCCATGCGCTGCTCACGTACATATTCTGGTTTATTTGGTTATGTTTACAAAGTACGTTATTGCTTATACTTTTACTTTTTGAGAATAAAAAGACGGAAAATTTAGGCGAATGCGGCAGCAATTCTGGGCACGTTGGCACAAAGAGTACCTTGCTG